TACATGTATGTGTATTTTTTTTTCCTATTATTGTCAAGTAATTCCTCTTAACATAAATTGCCAATAACTTCTTATCATTGTTCCACACAAATTTTAAATATATAATTTTTTCAAATAGAGAGGGGAGATAGCCTCCTAAGAGCATCTTCAATGTTGTATCAAATTTTTTTATTAAATTTGAGTAAAAATTTGATAAAAAATTTGATCTATATGATGCATTCCAATGGTAAATTCAAAATTTTCATCAAATCTTGGTACAAAGTAGATTGCTCAGGAGGACGTTCGACCATGAGCAAAAATTGACATTCAAATGAAGAAAACTTAGTTGTCTGGGAGGACATCTGACCCAACGGCTACCTGTAAAATTTGATGAAGGATACAAGCTTACTTGATTTGATGAAAGATTTGGTTATTCATTCATTTGATTTTTATTAAATGAAAGCATTGGAGTTAAGTTTTAAGATTTTTTTTCATCAAATTTAAATTTGATGAAATATTTAATGAAGGATTGGAGATGACAAAAATGGTAATTGAGCACCCTTAAGGGCATCTCCAACGGTGCATCAAAACTTTCATAAAATTTGAATAAAATTTTGAGTAAAAGTTTCCTTTGATATCAAGTGCTTAAATGGAGGGATTTGTGATTTCATCCAATTACCGGTCAATTGGGCAGACGACTGGACAGTATAATTTTTTCATATTTTTTTTCCTTGAGGTGAACATCTGGGGGGTTGACCGGGCAGACAATTGGTTGGTCAACCAGACAGTGTAATTTTTTTTATAAACTTTTGCCTTCAGGTGATTATTCGAGAGGATATTCAGGGGTGAAGATCCAACGGTAATGAATAATGATTTGATGATTCGCAATTTAATAAAAGAAAAGTGAAATCCTAAATTTGATAATGGATTTGATGAACTGTTGAAAAAGCAAAAAGTCACTTTTTTTCATCAAATTTAAATTTGATGAACCATTGGAGATGATCTAATCCATCATCAAATTTAAATTTGATGAAAAAATTTACTTTTTGCGACTTCAACCTAGTACCAAATCTTTCATCAAATCTAGAATTTCTCAAATCTTTTATTAAATTGAGAATGAATGTGCCTTTTATCAAATCATTGTTCATAATTATTTGATTTTCACCACCGGATGTCCTCTAAATATCCCTCCGGATGTTTGCCTGAATAACCACCTTAAGGCAAAAATTTATAAAAAATTTACATTGACTAGTCGATCGGCCGGATGACTACTTCAAGACAAAAATTTATAAAAAATTTATACTATTTTTTTTAGGTCTAAACCACCGGTATCCAGAAGTCCACAGGACCCCGACTAATCCGGTTCAAGCCGGGTAGGACCACAAGGGCAGCAAAGTTGGACCACAAGGGTGGCAAAGCTCTCCCAACAAATTTTTTAACACAGCTACGTTTCCAAGTCTCGAACCCGAGATCTTGATTAAGCTAGTATAACCCCTTACCAGCTAAGTTACATGCTTGTTGTTATTAAGTCGACTGTTACTCTAATAAAACTTTAAAAAATTTTATTTGAACACATCAAATAAATATTTTACTCAAATTTTTATTTAAATTTAATAAAAATCTTGATAAATCGTTAAAAGAGGCTCTCCAATGACTTAAAATGAATTACTAAAATGGTGGGCCCACGATCTTCATCTCTCCCCCCTCTCTCTCTCTCTATTTTCTCTCTCTTTGCCTCATTAACAGTCAAAATAATGGTGTCATATCAGCGGATGTAAGATAGTTGGTTTTCAATCTCAAAACAAGGGCAATATGGGACGATGGGAGTAAATCCAAAGAAAAATTATTTGTTGGTTTTTGAACGTCACGTTACCATACTTTTCATCAATTATAATTTAAGGTAAATTATGATTACATTTTTTAAAATTTATTTAAATTATAAATTATTTTTTTATAATTTTAAAAGTTATATTATGCCTTTTAAAATTTTAATTTCATAATAAATAATTTTTTTTATTAATAAAATATTAAATTAATTAATAATTTTTAATAGTATTAAAGTTTTATTTCAATTAATAATTCAAATAATTTTATTATTATATACGTGAACAATTAAAAATTTTATTTTTTTAATTAATTCTGTTAAATAAAAAATTCTAACAAGAAAATATTTATAATTTTTTAAAGCACAAAAAAATCCATATTTTAACCAAATCTAAAAAAATATATTTGTAATTTACCTTACAACAACGTTGAAGCACAGGTGACAGTATCCCAACCCAACGATAACTTCACGAATCCAAGGCCTCGTTTGTTTTCAGAGATAGAATGGAAGAAAATTAATAGTGAGGGGATTGATAGTGAGAAATTGTTAAATTATTTTTATATAAAATAATAAAACAAATAAAAAAATATAAAAAATTAAACATTAATATTTTAAAAAGAATTCCCAATATATAAAAAATAAAAAAATAATTTTTTTTTTTAAAATCAAATCATTGTTCATAATCGTTTGATTTTCACCACCGGATGTCTTCTAAATATCCCTCTGGATGTTTGCCTGAATAACCACCTTAAGGCAAAAATTTATAAAAAATTTACACTGACTAGTCGATCGGCCAAACATTTATCCAGTCGACCCCCTAGATGACTACTTCAAGACAAAAATTTATAAAAAAATTTATACTATTTTTTTTTAGATCTAAACCACCGGTATCCAGAAGTCCACAAGACCTCGACTAATCCGGTTCAAGCCAGGTAGGACCACAAGGGCGGCAAAGTTGGACCACAAGGGTGGCAAAGCTCTCCCAACAAATTTTTTAACACAGCTGCGTTCCCAAGTCTCAAACTCGAGATCTTGATTAAGCTAGTATAATTCCTTACCAGCTAAGTTACGTGCTTGTTGGTATTAAGTCGACTGTTACTCTAATAAAACTTTAAAAATTTTTGTTTAAACACATCAGATAAATATTTTACTCAAATTTTTATTTAAATCTAATAAAAAATTTGATACATCGTTAAAAGATGCTCTCCAATGACTTAGAGCATCTCCAACGGTGACTCAAATTTTTCACCAAATTTGAGTAAAAAATGACCCATTTCACTAAATTTGATACCACTCGCTCCAACGGTTCACCTTTCACCAAATCTATCCCGGGACAACCGGGTGGTCGACTGGCCAGTTGACCGGTTAGGCAAAAAATTATTTATTTATTTATTTTTGGCGAATTGTCTGAACTTTTTTTTGAACTTTCTGAACTTTTTCAGGACGACCGGGGTGGTCGACCGGTTAGGCAAATTTTTTTATTTTTTTTTTTAACGGTTTGAACTTTTTTTCCTGAACTGTTTGAATCATTTACTGGTTGACCGGTGTACCTCTTTCAACGGTCAGTAACAGTGATTTGGTAAAATCTGTGTCTCGTTCTCAGTTTGATGCTTTTTTTGCTGAAATCTCATTTTGATATCAATCTGGTGCAACGGTTGGAGCTTGAAAAAGTATGTTTTTCATCAAAATTTGAATTTAATGCTGGGTTTGATTCATCGTTGGAGATGGTCTTAAAATGAATTACTAAAATGGTGGGCCCACGATCTTCATCTCTCCTCTCTCTCTCTATTTTCTCTCTCTTTGCCTCATTAACAGTCAAAATAATGGTGTCATATCAGCGGATGTAACATAGTTGGTTTTCAATCTCAAAACAAGGGCAATATGGGACGATGGGAGTGAATCCAAAGAAAAATTATTTGTTGGTTTTTGAACGTCACGTTACCATACTTTTCATCAATTATAATTTAAGGTAAATTATAATTACATTTTTTAAAATTTATTTAAATTATAAATTATTTTTTTATAATTTTAAAAGTTATATTATGCCTTTTAAAATTTTAATTTCATAATAAATAATTTTTTTTATTAATAAAATATTAAATTAATTAATAATTTTTAATAGTATTAAAGTTTTATTTCAATTAATAATTCAAATAATTTTATTATTATATACGTGAACAATTAAAAATTTTATTTTTTTAATTAATTCTGTTAAATAAAAAATTCTAACAAGAAAATATTTATAATTTTTTAAAGCACAAAAAATAATCCATATTTTAACCAAATCTAAAAAAATATATTTGTAATTTACCTTACAACAACGTTGAAGCACAGGTGACAGTATCCCGGATTAAGTAAAATTGTGTTTGTTTTGATGATAGTTGTTAGTGTAGGAATTGTTAAATTATTTTTATATAAAATAATAAAACAAATAAAAAAATATAAAAAATTAAACATTAATATTTTAAAAAGAATTCCCAATATATATATATAAAAAAAAATTTAATCCCCTCACTATTTTTCTAATATCATCTCTGTCTCTTCCTTACTAATCCTCCTTCCAAAGAGACTACTAATATCAAGAAATTAATAATTTTCTTCCCATCTCTTAAGCTATGTTTGGTTGGAGGATTTGGTGTGATAAATAGAAAGGGAAAAGGAAATACAATCTCACTCTTTGTTTGGTTATAGTGGAAAACACAAGGGAAAAGAAAGTGTGGGAAAAATACGATCCCACTTTTTGTGTTTTAGGTTCACTTAGGCTTCTTTCTTTCTTCATTTCCCAACTCGACCAAACATAGCTTGGAATTCGAATCCTATCAATTCTTTCTCATTTTCTTTCTATTTCCTTTTCCTTTCCATTTCCCTCATCAAATCCTCTATGCTGTGTTTGGTTGGGGTTTTTGGGGTGAGATTTGGAAAAGGAATGAGAAATGTAATCCTATTTATGTTTGGTTATAATAAAAAATATATGGAAAAAGAAAAGGGGTGGAAAATAAATAAAGAAATAGGAGACTTTTTAGGACATCAATTCTATTTTATAACCAACACAACCAAACATAGTTGGGATTTGGAATTCTATTAATTCTTTCTCCTTTTTCTTTCATTTCCATTTCTCTTTCCATTTTCCTTCCCAAATCTCCTAATCAAAGACAGCGCTAATCAAACACAACCTTAAAATAAACACCCCATTAATAATAAGGCATTCGTATTCCCAACCCCCTGTAACCCCAAACAAACGTGGCCAGGTGACTTGATTCCCTCACCTTCGTCCCCACTTCTATTTTTCGCCTTCTTTACTTCCCACCATAGTCTCTTCTACTTTTCTGCTTCACTAATATACCCTCCACACAGCTCACAACAGCCCTCTCTCCTTTCACCCCATTTCACTTCATACCCTTCCCATCATCAACTTCAATTAGCCCGATCGAGCCTCACAAAAACATACCCACACACAAACGTATATACACACACTTATAGAGAGAGAGAGAGAGAGAGAGAGAGATGTCGGACTGGGGCCCGGTGTTCGTGGCGGTGGTGCTCTTCGTCCTGCTATCGCCGGGGCTGCTGTTTCAAGTCCCGGGGCGGAGCAGATCCGTTGAATTCGGCAACTTCCACACCAGTGGTGCGTCCATACTCATCCACACCCTGCTCTACTTCGCTCTCATCTGTATCTTCTTGCTGGCTGTTAAAGTTCATATGTACTTTGGTTAGAACATTTGGTTTGTTTGGTTCCGAATTTCGATTTGCATGCGTTGTTGAATTATGCCCCTAAGGTGTTTGTTAAATTGTCCAAGTCAATCTTTGATGTCTATGGCATTGTATTTTGTTGCTTTTGATATGTACTCCTGAAAAAATTTGCATTTTTTTTAACGTTTGTTATAATCATTATTTGTAGACTTTTTCATTGATTATAATATTTTATTTGAACCTATTATGCTGAACCATAGTGGCCTCTATCAACCAACATACAAGCTTAATGAGAAAACCAGTAAACATCAACAACAATGAGGAAAAAAATTGACAAAGAAACTAATAAAATAAGAATGGAAAAATCCATTAATTCTTGTATTGGACATGAATTTGAATATTGCAGAAGATTTGCACGAGATTAAGCAATGAAAAATAATTATTGATTACTTAATAATTATTGTCATCGCATCGCTTTAGCATATGTCCATTCCATTGTCCATATAATCCCCTCTGATTCCATTTCTTGCCCCCAAAATCTCTTTCAACTATTCTCAACTTTCCAACTGTTTTCCTACCTCTTTTATTTTTTCTTTTGTTTTCTTCAATCCCTCCATCTTTCTATATACATATACATGCATCATACACACAATAGAGAAGCTTAATGAGAGAGAGAGGGAGAGAGAGAGAGATGGCAGATTGGGGACCAGTAGTGATAGCGGTGGTGCTGTTCGTGCTGTTGACACCGGGACTGTTGTTTCAGATACCGGGGAAGGATGCATTGGTACAATTCGCGAACATGCAAACCAGCGGCATCTCCATACTTGTTGACACGGTCATCTATTTCGGCCTCATCACCATCTTCCTCATTGCCATCGGCGTTCACATCTACTCTGGCTAATTATTACTTACTACTACTACTATATATATAGATATATATTTCCATTTCCACCACACTTCTCTCAAGTTTTCACCTTTCAAGTCTAAGCTTCTTTGTCACTGAAATTTTGTGATTGTGGGGCTGTGTTGTGCTCCTCCTTGTTATCTCATGCTTTCATATGTGTGTATATATATACATATTGGTTTGATATGTATTTCAAGAAGTGAAAGTGTGTAAGAAGGCCTTTTTGTTCACCTAATTTATTGTAATTTTCATTCCAAATGAGAATTTTACTGGTGCTATTGCCATTGGTGTACCCTAGATCTAGGTGGTTGGTAAGTTGTTTTGGTTAAATTGTTTATGTTCTAAAGCTATGAAGTATAACTTTGATTAGGGATGTAAAGTGAAACAATAATATTGGAAACAATGACAAACATAACGACAAACACATTAATTAGAGATGATGTTAAGTGAATATCACATCAAGTGGTGAAATTCACATACAAATCGTGTATTTTAACTGATATATTTATTGATATAGACTTGTTAGTGTTCTGTGAAATTGAATATTCTCTGGGCTTCGCCTTTCGTTCAAGGAGGGGTTATATTACAAGTTATCCATTTTAGGAAAGATTATATAGTACATCTAGCTAATAATTTAGCACTCCTAAACCATCCCTAATGATGTGATATTAAAGTTAGATATCATATGATGAAATGTTCGACAAATTAAAATTTAACACTTGTCAAACACAGCACTAAGGGTAATTTTTAAGAATAATAAATTACGATCATACTTTATATGTGGTGTATCACTTTAATAATAAAAAGAGTCATTTTGTTTTGTTTTTATTTTTTTGAGGGTCATATTTTCATGTACATTTGGACCTAATTGATGGGCAAATGGAGCCGGAGTTATATGACAGACGCAGAGGCAGGAGAGGGCCTGGCCTTCTAAGGCTGTGATGGTGGTCCAAGCACAATCTTTGGCCACCGACCCCAATCTCTGTCTCTCTCTACCACACGATCAATTCTGGTTTTGATACATGGTGGAGAGGAGGTATACAACAGAGGCTAGAGAGATTCAAGAACAGATAATACTGGGGCCTGACAGTGTGACAACAGTCGTGTCCCCAATTTCCCCTGCTACAACCCTGTCCCTACTAGCCAAGTGGAGCTGACTAATGGCTAGAGAACATAATATACATTCGGAAGTGTAATAGATCCAAAGCACCATAGCTCAGGGTTTCAATGTTTCAACAAACAAGATGGCCAAAATACTTTCTTCTAAAATTGACCAAACACAATGAGAATGTTTGATAAAGAAAGCAAAATGCCATGAAAAGAACTAAAAAACCAAACGCAGTTGGTTCCTTCAACCTCAGCTGACAAAAACCACCTGACAAAACAACAAAGACATTGAAATGCCCGATGGCGAAGATTTTACACAATTCTAAAAAGCACAAAATCAATAACAGAGTGAATTAAGACAAAAATAGAACAAGTAGAAACAGAGTGCAATCTATCTGTTCCCCCCTATGTAATTACTAATCAAGACATTACTTCTTAGAAACCTTCAACAGTACACTATTCTACTTAACAAAAAAGCCATATCCACAAGCTTAAGTAATTCTTAAAAAAAAATTAAAAAAAATCAACAGTTTCTCCTGTATTCTCCAAGAAGCCCGGAAAATGTTCTTTTCCCTTCTACATTGCTAAAGGCAGCACCCCACCCAGAAAAAGAACGATAGTGCTACTGAATCCTCCAACGTGTGCTCTAACCAACTCTGAACGACCATCACAAGAGTTTCCATGCTGCAGCATTGAGAAATTAAAAAGAAATTTAAAAAAAAGAAAAGAAGGAATCCTCTTGACAGAAAAACACAGTGGATACTGCATAGAAGAAGTTGAATAACTGATTTAACCAACTTGAAAACATGCAGTGTTTATTTTTAGTGCATGTGAATTATAAAGCCACAGCCCCAAGGGAAAAAACGGTATGCAATAGTTTTGGAGAAATGACAATGAAAAAACTGACTGGAGCAAAGCTTACAGAAAAGGGTCCTCAGAACCATTTCATCATACATATACATGCTAAGAAGGTAACCCTTCAGTGATGAATAGAAAATTGAATTTATGTAAAAACTAAAAAGTTTGGAATATTTTTTTTATCATTTCATCCTGTTAAAACTTTATATCACTTAACCAAAAAAAAAAGAAAAGAAAAAAATAATTAATGTAATCATTTCCTAAACAAGTCAAATAACACGCCCAAGTTCAGTAAGCTCAAAAATGTTAACAAGCAAAGTAACGCTTAAACTTCAGCAAAGTTCGAATCAAACTATTCAGATTTGGCTTGAGAACTGAGGCACCCCTCTCTCAGCTTGGTCTGAGCTTTGATAGACCTAATCAAATTTTGATTCATGAGGGTGTGACTGAGGTACCTGTTTTCATATGAGTAGATCTGAAAAGCTTGTTTAAAACAGACTCCCTTCAAGATGAAAACAAAACAAGCACCTCACTTCTAAAAGGTATGACAATTGATTAAAACTTGCATAATGCATGGATCTGTTCTGTGAAACAATGATAACATTGCAAATAACCAAATCAAACCAAACTAAGCCTAGTGTCCCAATCTAGTGGGGTCTGCTAACGAGACCATTGTGAATATAGAGTAAAATCAATCAAGTTCCAACTGTGGCATTCCAAAGAGCTCATTTGAACCCATGAGTACTTGTTACCCCACCAGCTCTAACCACTAGAGTTGGAAGCTTTTGAAGAACTTTGATGTCTTTCCACTATAAGTTCGTAAACCCAGGATTTGCAAATTGAATGGAGGATTTACATAAACACTCAAAAACTAGTTAACAGGCTAAGATTTTGGATGAGGCATATTAAAACCATTTATCCATTGTTCTTTAAACAAGCCTCAAATTTTCCATCCCTCACTCTCAGCATAAATCATGCCATCAGAGAAATTTTTATTTTTTTCTTTCCACTTTTTAACGAACCACAAATTTCAGTCTCCAAACCACTTTTTATCCTTCATCAAGTCTTTTGCATTCCAAAACCTCAAATTGACCTCAAAACATAAATCCCTATTGTCAGAAACATCAACCACGTAAATTAGCCCACCACATTGTTCAAAAATAAGATGCAAAGTGCAAACAGATGTAAATCACTAGCAATAAACTGATGAACTTTCAAGAAAACAAAGAGAAACAGAAACAAGAAACCAACTAAACTCAAGTGTTCAATTCAAAATGGCAAGGGCAGGGTCAATAGAAACTCAGTTCATAACTCACATAGCTTCCCAGCTTAAGATAAAGAGGAGCCACTCAACAATTTTTAGACACCAATGAAGGCAGGTGTAAAAATAATAGAGAACGTATTGTTACTGCAGACATTTATATACCTTAAATAGGAAAGCCACTTAAAGACTAAATTTCATCTGTAGGGCCACTACCAACAATCTACCATCATAATCCACAAACTTGTCAACAGAGCAACCTACTCTTTGACACTTACCAGTTACCAGCAAATTTTGAGCAAATTTTCTGGATGTTTGAGAGCTAAAAATTCAAGAAAAAGAAACTATTGTCCCAAAAATTACTAAATGAAAAACATATTTTGATCATAATTCAGCTGTGCCCACAAGAAGAAAGAGGAGGAATGGGAAGACAACAGAAAAATTTGCTGAAGAATTGTGTGGCAGAATTGGTTTCCTTTGATTCCATAAAGGAGAAATAAAAAAAAGGTTTCAAGTGAAAAGAAGGAAACAAAAAACCTTGTTTGGTTTCATTTCTCACTTTTTTCTCCATACATAAACAAACGCCAAAGAGACAACATCAAAGATGTGGGACAAAAGTGATTACTATTAGGACGGGCAAAACTTTTAGCATTTAAAGGGAAGCCTACCCAATGGGCAGACATGCAGCACTTCGTAATGCTGCCCATACAATACCGACAGATGGAATTGATTACTCCTCCCTTCATTTGGCCTGCCCATACAAGTGGCATCTCAACTACAAGGTGGATTGCTGCCCCATAAACCAACAGAAGACAATATATTCCTTTTCTAGACCTGTATGCCCAACCAAATCGAACAAATAAAGCTCAATAACCAATATTTTTGTTTTCCCCATAAATGTATGCATTAAACCACCTATCATCAATATTTGTCTTCAGCCAACCTAACAAAATTTTGTTTTGAGTACACAAAATTAATGAGAGAGACTCATTTTGATGTCCTGCCAGCCATAGATTCGGCAATTTAGTTCGACACATACTACAAAACTAGTGGGATTTTGGTCAAGTTACCCACAAATTAACTACCTTGCACATGTTAACATATTTAATTGCCAGATTGATTACAAAAAGCACCAAACACTAAGACAATCATAAAAACAAATCCATGTAACCATCAATACTTGATATAGAAACAATTTCAATCAATACAAAAGCTGTAAAGACAAACCAAATTGATAACTCTAGATCTCCAAGATCGATATAAATAGAATCAATCTCAAAGGCAATAAGTCTAACCTGGAACCTCTTTCCTCGGCGGTGACATGGTGTGACAAAGAATCGCGCGTCCCAGCATCGACAAAGTGGACACAATCCCAACCACATAGAGGAACATTACCAATCCAATAACCCAAGGCATCAACATGAATCCAATAAAAAACGTAACCGAGCCACAGAGCATCAAAGCCAGCGAAATCCCTAACAGCAACGACGCAAATCCCGCCGGGGACATCGACTGCGCCGGCGGCAATGGTCGCCTCGAGGAAGACACCGGCGGCGGCGTATGAATCGCCGGAGAGTGATCGGAAAACTGAATCGGCGTAGGAGGAGATCGAAGAATGTTGAGAATCATAACAGAGAGCTCGTAAAAGAGCTTGGAATGTTGATCTTGTCTTCTCATCATCTTTTCCCGAGAAAATTAAAAAGAAAAACGGTGATGACAGATAGTAATACAATGCCTAGAAAATCAGAGAGAAAATTTTAGAATTGCTAAAAACGAGGCAAATGGATAAACTCTGAGAGAAGAGTCGGATATTATCTCTCAAATCGTTATCGTTTGGTTATTTGATTGGGGAGTGCTTTTAACTTTTTTTAATACATGTGGAGAGTTCTGATAGGTAACGGTTTGTTTGTTTCTCAGGAAAGACAGGTAAAGGAGAGAGAAAGTGGAAGGAGATGCGGCGGTGCTGTTCCGATCAGAGAGAGAGAGAGGAGTAAATAACATATAAATTTTCGAATAATGCTTGGGACTCCCTTTTGGAGTCACCCCTCACCCCCTTTGTCACGTGGCAGGGGTGATTGGTGGAGCAGAAAAAAAAGAAAAAGAAAAAGAAAATGTGACCAATGAGAGAGGGGGTCAAAGGGGTGGGAGAAAAAGGGAGATGAATCATTACTCATTTTCTATGTAGTGTGTTTGGATTGACAGAAACATTTATGACGCAGTCAGCACAGCCATGTCTGGATGAATGAGTTTGGTGGCTTTATCTTTAGAAGATTGGGGGGCCTCATCGTCGGTTGTTGGATTATTAGGCTGACACGTCTTGGGGGCGCGTGTGTGACACGTAAGTATGATCATGAGGTACGTGGTGGGCCCAGATGACGTGGGACCTTATCCACTCGTTGACTACCATACTTGTCTGTTAAATATATTTATTTTATTTTATTTTATTATTATAATTGATTTGATATTTATAAAAAAAAAAATAATAATTATAATTTGAATCTGATATTTTAATTTATTTTATTTTTATTAATTATTACCCAATTTTAATTTTCCAAACAGAACCGTATTGTCTGATTAAAATAGGTGTATAATGTATTTATGAGGCATATGTAGAGAAAATTAATTTAAATAATAGGACATACTATTGTTATGATTATTTTAAGAAATAACAAAATAAATGTCACCAATAAAAATATGTGAAATATTTATTTTAAAATCATTTTAATTATTTAGCTGTTGAACAATGATTCGTTTGAAGGGATGGGGGGAAACAAATTATTGAATGTCATTTGCACATTACACCCAATCATCATTTGTCATTCTTGCATTGATGCTATTTAAAAGTATCTCAATTACTAAATAACTTCCCAAATATAAGAGGGGTTGGAATTAGCCCATATTTTAATTTTTGATGCGTAGGATTTCTTTTTCTGTATTTATTTAAGTTGATTAAATTATTAGTAGAAGAACAGTAAAACAAAATTTTATTCCACCCCTATAATAATACCATGTCATATGTGTCTATCTAATAATATGGTATAGATGATTTTTTTGGAAAAGAATTAGAGATAAAGTAATTCATCATTGAATATTATTAGTTATTGGACAAATACATAAATCATGGCGAATTCTGAAACTACGTATTATTTTTTGTTGGAATGAAGAGGGTTATGAATTTTTTTTTTTTAATTTTTAAATTCCTTCTCTTCCTAAATTAATTTATTCGCAATCATTAATTGTAACTTAAGTCAAAATTTTGACTTATTTATTTATTTTTTATTTTTTATCTTTTATTTTGCCCCTTTCAAAATTCTCAACAAAGAGAAATTATTCCATGCACATAAGGCACTGCTATATGGTGTTCCGGGAAGATTGTTGTTGATGGAGAAAACGGGCTACGATTTTGTGTTATGGATGGAAAGACTGGCACCATATTTGATGATTGAAGTGTGATATAGGTAACATGGTGTCCGATAACATAGAACAAAATTTTAATTCATTAATGATATCACGGCATAATCAGCATGTAATATTATTATTTAATAACAAATTATTATATATGTATAATTAATTTCATTTGTATTATGTATATACAGCGGTTATATAATTATAATTGACACGGATAGGCCCACAAGGCATACGGCCCACAGTAAACCACCCCAAACCCATTGCTTGGGACCAATGGCATAACCCGGTTGGCAAAGCCCAGGACAGCTGGAGGCCATTTAGACATGGAGGGCCAATGACATTTGGGCACATGACATGTGGGACACGGGCCACATCAGCAGACAAAGATCTGCAGAGTTATTATCACAACACATCACCATTAATGCATCCTATCACAGCATTTATTACGACAACACCCCCCGCCGGAACAGAGCCCCATCACCTTGAACAAGGTAAGTTACGGCACAGGCTTTCGGCGAAAGGAAGCACATCACAAGAGACAGGGAAATGATGACCAAAGGATATAAGCAAGGATAGAAAGACAAGAATGGGCCACATCAGCAGACAAAGATCTGCAGAGTTATTATCACAACACATCACCATTAATGCATCCCATCACAGCATTTATTACGACAACACCCCCCCGCCGGAACAGAGCCCCATCACCCTAAACAAGGTAAGCTACGGCACAGGCTTTCGGTGAAAGGAAGCACGTCACAAGAGACAAGGAAATGATGACCAAAGGATATAAGCAAGGATAGAAAGACAAGAATAAGGTTAAGTTATCTCTCTCTTGATCCCTCTCTCCATATTCCCTACTTCTTCCTCTACTAATTCTCACGCCGGAGGGTTCACTGGGGGACTGCCCCGTTCCCCTTTGGGCTTGCATGCAGGTCATTTGACGGAATCATCACCCCGAACCGGAACCTGAAGAGCCTGGACCAGTCCGACCCATTCACCCGGGAAGAAGAACGTTATCAGTTGGCGCCGTCTGTGGGAAGTTAGTGGTTTATCCGTGCGTTAGTTGTGTTCACTACCGCCGGAGCCCTCCCTTCTCACCATCACCTTTCCCTCTTGCCCGTCCAGGTGTATGGTCACGACTAGGTCCATGGCTTCTCACCACAACGCCGCCGATCACCAAACAGATCCCTCCCACCCAACCAACCCACCACAGTACATCATCGAGCTCACCAACAGCATTAACCGCATGGCCGAGCAAAACCAGGCCCTGATCAATGCGTTACTCCAAAGAAACCCCCCCGTTCCACCTCCAAATATCCCGCCCAACCAAGGAACAACCCCAGGCCATACTGCTCCACAACCCCCTCCGCCTAACCCAGAAGGTTCGCAGCCCCCTCATAATTTTAAAAATGTCATAGACATTTCACTTTAAATAATATTTTTATAAATTTTTTTATTTAAAATATTTTCTTTATGTTTGAAAAAAAAAAAAATCCACCAAACAAAAAGAGAGAAAGGATCCTCGCCAGAACACGAGCACTTCAAAAGCCTCAGCGAGACTGAGCACTTCAAAGCCTCGGCCAAGACCGAGTACTTCAAGCCTCGGCCAGACCGAGCACTTCAAGCCTCAGCCAGACTGAGCACTTCAAAAGCCTCGGCCAGACCAGCACTTCAAAGCCTCGGAAGACGAGCACTTCAAAGGCCTCAGCCAGACTGAGCCACTTCAAAGTCTCGGCAGACCGAGCACTTCAAAGACCTCAGCCAGACGAGCATTTTCAACAGCCTCAGCCTGACTGAGCACTTCAACGCCAAGCAGAACCACATTTTCACACTTAGTCACATTCTGAAGCTTTTTCACAGTTCCCAGGACCACGTCTTTTCCTAGTTTAATTCTCCACATACTCTCACGTATTACATTTACTGATCAGATTATTTGGCCAACTATTTAGTTACAATTTACAACCTGCCTCTTACTCCAATTTTTTCCATTATCCT